ATGTCTTTTTATACAGTGGATGTAAACTTCTGGTTTCAGCTGTATGTTGATCAATGGTCAGAATAAACAACCTTAAAACGTTTCAATCTGCCTGCATCACATAAAACCGAGTTACAGCATTAATCTGGTGTATTCTAAGCTGCAGTCTTTGCAATTTGCTAGTTGCATTGTTTAAAACACAATGCAACTGAAGTCAGTTACTTGTTCGGCCCTGTACAAAGAAATATCTGGTATTTGTAGTTTTTAAACAGACATTTAGAGCAGATGTGTGTCTGAAGTAAAAAGTGAAAATCTTGGTGTCAGAAATTGAAACAACAGCAACTGAAAAACCAAACTTCCCAGAAATACATTTATTTTTGTCTTAAATATAAACAAAACATTTGATCTTTTCAGTGTCGATGACAAATCAGACAGTCGCTGCAGAGACAGAAAAAGTCGATCAACCCAACTGGCAGCTCTGTGTATGTCGTGTATATTTCTTCGTTTAAATCAACAAATGCATGTACACATGCACAACATGTCCCAAAAGTTAAAAGACGAGCCCTGTTCTCATTTCTCAGCTTCTTGACCACTTTTCTCTCCTCCCAGCCGAGATGCGAATGAAGGAGGAACATTTTAAGAATTGAGAAATCCTTCAAGATGGCAGGTTCAGATCGATTTCTGGGTCACAGGCGGGAGGACGAAGGACGGAGGAGGCGAAGAAGCTCGAAATAGAGAAATGAGAGGAGCCTAATGTGACATATTCTATATGGAGGAGTGGTTTCCCCTGGAGAGGGAAAGCTCTGTGGGAGGAAATGACACTTTGATTCTGATTAGAACCTCCAAATGTTCACTAAAAGTACCATTACATCCTGTCTTAAAGTCTTAATCTGTGGATTTCCAGTGTGTTAATTAGAAACCGACCTGCAGAAACAGCATGGAAGCATCTGTACAGTCTCACAGTGAATCATATTATCACCCTGATGCAAGAGCAGCGTTAAAGTTTAAAGTGAAAATACTGACAAGAAACAAGATTCAAACACGTGTAACGTTCAGCAATGTTTTTGTGCGTTGATGCTCGGTTCAGCCTCCGTCCTCTTGGCTCAGGAGTCTCCAGGTTCGTGCAGCGGAGCAGATTTGATGAAGTCCTGTTTGTGGGTTCCGTCACAGTACGGAGGGTTGTTGGTGTATTTACATCCACACAGCCAAACCGTGGCGTCCTTCTCGGGGACGAAGCGATGCGGGGACAGGCCCTGGGCTTTGGTTTTGTGAGCTCCGTCGCAGAAAGGCTGAAACGAGACAGATGCGGTCAGAGGAGATGTTTGGATTTGTACCTCTTGTGCACTCAGACGGTGGTTCTACCTGCTTCTTGCTGTGTCCACATGTGCACCACGAGTAACGCTTTCCACCAACGAGGTCCACTTTGAAAGGCTTCTTAGACGGGATGACGGGATCAGGAGGAAGCGTGGACAGATTCACCTGAAGACAGAGGAACACTTCTTTAAATATAAGTAACTGTGTGTCACAGGGAGCTGCTTTCCTGTTCATCCATCCATTATCTATCATTTATACACCGCTTAATCCTCATTAGGGTCATGGGGGGCTGGAGTCTATCCCAGCTGACTCAGGGTGAAGGCAGGTTCACCTGGACAGGTAACCAGTCTATCACAGGGCTACACTTAGAGACAGACAACCAAGCACACTCACATTCACACCTACAGACAATTTACAATCACCAATTAACCTCAACATGTTTTTGGACTGTGTGGGAGGAAGCCGGAGAACCTGGAGAGAACCCACGCTGCACGGGGAGAACATGGAGACTCCACGCAGAAAGATCCTGGGTGTCCTCACCGGGACACGAACCAGCGACCTTCTAGCTGCGAGGCAACGATGCTAACCACAAGTCAGAATGGCCAGAAAAGCATGATGGCTTGCAAACTGCACACTCAGGCTGGATGTAGGACATGTGGGGATTTCTGGTGTACTACATTGGACCTACTATGTTTTGGGTCATAATAAATCTGTTTCTGACATATTGATATGGTCGTATGGAGACTGGAACAGTCTTCTTCCTGAAGGGGGCGGAGCCTGCAGCAGCTCAGCTTCATTTAAAGCTACAGACACTGAAACAATCTAAAACCAGGAGTCATACAGTGACGGAGAAATGAACCACCTTTATGTTATTTTGAGCTGAATAATTAAAACGCACATTTTTCTCACATTCACAGGAGACGGTCATTAATTAGCTGCAAGGGGGCAAAATACGGGACCTTTAAGTCTGAAAGTGTGCTGAGAAAAAAAGCTCTGGAGAACAATAAAGATCAGAAACCTGATGACAGATCTGATCAGTCTGATGGAAAACAGCTGCTCAGCAGGAGCTTCAATGTCACACACTAGGTGGCGCTGCTAGCCACAGTTCAGCCAGTCAGTCTGGGGCTTTTTCTTTTTCTCTCAAAAATAATTACAGCTGTCACATAATTTTGAACTCTACAAAGTGGTTCAATTGTAAGTTTAGGCAAAACATTATTATGAGCCTGGAAACTGTCAAACCGGCAGTTTGAATGAAACGAGCAGCTTGTATCAGTGACATAATCAGTAAAGTCAGGACCACAGAGGGACATTTATGAAAAAGCAGAGACTGACATGTGTGACTGTACCTTGCAGGCTGCCGTAGTTGGGATCCAAGGTTGTCTGAAGGTGAAAATAATCCATTTATGCTCCAGTTTGCTCACCAACGTGTTCATGTTTCCACTGACAGCAGCTAAAGGGGAGCTAGCTGTTAGCCGCTAGCTGCTAGCTGTCACTCAGGACCTGCGCAGCGGACACTGCAAAGACCGCGAGATTCAAGAAGTGGAGAATAAGGGGAATTACAGAGCAGCTACAGAAAGTAAAGACAGCACAATAAAATCAGTAAAACAGAAAGAAAAACAAAACTTCGTCAATCAGTGTCAGACTTCTCAGCCTGACAGTCGAGCGCGCTGATTGGAGGAATCCGCTTCCTGGAGAGTCACGTGTCAGTAGCTGAGCCAATCAGGAAGCGGCTTTCGGTCAACGGCAGACTGAACTGAAGTGATTGAAGAAATAAATAAATGTTTTTTCTCAGCCTTACGATGCTGCACTGTAATTTATATCCAATAATCAGAGCAGAGGATTTGTTAGGATCCGAACAGCACAGAAATATTTAGAATTTAATCTGATAATTGCACAATTTTCAAGTTACTTTGGAGTAAAATGAGTATAAAAATGTGACACAGCAGCGCTTCACAAACCATGTGCCTTGGAATAAGTATCTTTAAAATGATTATTTACAGCTATAATCACAAAAACTCAATTCTTTTTGCAATCAAAACACTCCACTGTCCATGTTCAGCCCGATGATAACTGATCAAACTACAGAGACCTACAATAAAACAATAAACCGTGTTTTTATTGCTCCTCAGCCAACTGTTAGGACAGTAACATGAATGATTAAATAGGTTCTGTTTGTAGCTAAAAAACATTTATGCAAACACACAAAGACGAAAATAGAAACGTTATCTAAAGCACTACAAGTCATTATAAAAGACCTGAATATTTCTGTCTGTCTAGTAATAAATGGACAAAAAAAAAAAAGAATTTATATTTTAAAAAAAGAGGAATAAATGAACCACAATTCTAAAATGTTGGAAAACCAACCTGATCATATGAATATATATCATAAGTTGAGGAGCATCACCTGTATGTAGGATGGAAGAGTTGTGAGTGAGTCAGTTAAAAAAATAAAATAAAATAGGGAATTGTTTTATATTTTATTCTGAGGTTTCATACAGTACATGACACAAAGCAAACACTCATAATGTAACACCAACATATATACGAACATGCAACATATTTTATAGTTTATAAAAATAATAATCAGACTCCAGCAGAGTTTGACACTGAATTCACTGAGTCATGCAGCAAAGCCCCGAAATTTATCGATTTCTTGTGGTTGATGATCATGAAATGCCCAATTACTGAATGAAATGAAAAATAAACTGGGTTCAGATTTGGTTTGATGAATAATTCTGCAGAGATCCACCATCAACACCGTTAAAATGTGCTTTTAAAAGAACTCTGCAGGACGTCCTTGAATGCTCAGATTTAGCAGCTACACTATTAACTATGATTTATCAGAAATCCACGGACCTGAAGTTAGGACGGACGTGCTCTTAATTTTTCCGGAGTGTTTCTTCACTGGGACCAGTCAGAAGCTGCTGTTAGCATCAGGATGCTGCTGCAGCTTCAGCCATTATGCATGTGTATAAATGTGTAAACATGATTTAAAAACAGTGCAATCTTCTCAAAAAAAACATCTGATCCACCCAGCATTGACAAGCAGCAGGAAATAATTTTTATTTAATATCAAAAATAATGATTTTTAGCCACACACACTGTAGAACAACATGACTCTGTTGCTTTGAGGTCGTTTTGCTGTGTTTTGGCCTCGCAGGGCTGAAATCGGCTTCATTTAAAAAGGCCTTTCACCGACTTCACTGCGTCCCGGAAGATGACTTTCAAATGTGACCCGTCGCAGTACGGAGCGTTTTTGGTTTGTTTGCAGGCGCACAGCAGCAGCGCCTGGTCTTTTTCAGGGGTGAAGCGAAGAGGAGAGATGCTGGGAGCAACTGTCCGGTGAGCGCCGTCGCAGAAAGGCTGGAAAACAGAAATAAAAAGAAGTGAAAACACAGGCTGTACCATTTACTTCTACAGAAACATGTTACGGTTTTTCACACCTAAAGTGCAAATTGTGCAAACTTTGAAGGGATAATTCTAGTATGTTTCAATCTAATTCAAGTATTTACCTTCAGTCTACCTAAGCTTAACTTTCCTATAATGAAGAATTGCATAAAACAATACATAAAACAGGCAGTGAAACTCGTGTGTGTCTGTTTCAGACGGCTAATTTCTGCATTTCTTTCCAGTCAGACTGAAAACAAACAATTATCATGATTCAGGTAAAACATTCTGGAGGAAGCGTGCACCTCCTGCACAGACTTATACTGTTTTATATGGTTCATTGTGTCCATAAATCTCTACGACGGAGAATTGAACATTAGCTCCACCCACAGAGACAAACATGAACAGGAAATACAGGATACAGTCACTTCAGCTAATCCCATCTGTTAGCTGTGTTACCGCGGTAACTATTCATGGTAAATGGTCTGCACTTTTATCCAAAGTGCTTTACAATGTGTTTCTCGTTCACACACACATTCATACACCAGTGGCGACAGAGCAGCCATGCAAGGTGCTGCCTGCCACTGGGAACAACTTCGGGTTCAGCGTCTTGCCCAAGGACACCTGGACTGTGGAGGGGATCGAACCAGCAGCCTTGTGATTGGAGGACAACCTGCTCGACCACCTGAGCCACAGCCGCCCATTCAGCCATAGTTCATCAGTACAGAGAATATCAGAATATCTTGATATCCACATTTTTTACTCTTTAAAATTGGGACTGGACCTAAAATCTACTTCCTGATGCTAATATCAAAGACACAGACTTTTTTAAAAACTTCTGCTTCAGTCCTTTTCCTTGTGTTCACATTTGTACATAAACAGTTCAGACGCTGGATTTCTGAATAACAATATTACTTTCTTTTTTTTTTTTTAACTTCCTGCCTTAAAGCGACGCTTGGCATCAACTCTGCACAACAAAGCCAACTGACCGAGGATCATGAACTCCTTGTTTGCTAAAAATCAGGCTCGTTAGTAGAAAGTGAGCCAAAAACATCTAGATGAACCAGTAAAGAAAACATTAAACCGGATGTTTGGTGCAGTTATTTAATATGTTAACGTGGAAGTTTGTATATTCTGTGACTGACCAACTATCTGTAATCTGATTACATCGGCTGGCCTTCAAACACCAGCGATGTACACGTCATAAAATGTCATAAAATGAAACCTACAGGTGTCATAAACTGCATTGTTTGTGGCTCTTGAATTTATCTGATCTCACTTTAAGAACCTGAAATAAACAACTGAGCTGTTTAAGGTGCATTTTTTTTTACACCTGACAACCGTCTTTGATCTTGTGTTCACCTTCATCTGTCTCCATCAGCAGCTTTCTAACTGGTAGGAACATAAGTGGCGGTAAATGAGCCGAGACCCTTCGTGAGCGACGTCCTGCTTCAGCCCAGGTGTGTCTGAAACCTGATCTCCTCTGCAGGTAGCCCACTCACCTGCTTCTTGCTGTGACCACAGGCGCACCAGGCGTAGCGCTTCCCAGCCGACACCTTCACCCTGTAGGGCAGCCGGCGGGCAGGGACGGGCTGCGTGGACTGGAGACAGCACTGGACCTGCAGGACGAGAACCAGAAATCAAAGCAGGAAGCTCTGTGGACAGACCCAGAGCTTTTTAACGGCTGGCTGAGGCTCCACACGTACGCAGGTTTTATATTTAAAACTGAAGCCTAAAAAAAGCTTATCAAGTGTTTCGACACAGCTGATACTCAACACAGCTGAGAAGCAACTCTGTGTTTATATGTAAGCATGCACAAAGTCCTGTTAGCAACGTTAGCAGCAGCTCTGGTTTGGTCAGTCTCTGCAGAAACCCAGCTGACACAAACAAAACAAGAGAACAGCTCACAAGACAACAATGTTCAGTTTGGGAGGAGTTCTACAAAAAGTGAGTGTTTGCAGACCTAAAACTGTACATAGGTGTGAATGTAGCATTTGTTAGCTTATCAAGGCTAGCAGCTGGAGTGGAACCAGTCATTGAAGATTTTCTTTAGCTGACGACAGACTTCGATAAAACAAAAGTCGATTTTCGGTTTGGAACAATTCTTTGACCTCAATATCCACCTCACACGTAGACTTTATGCCTCTATAACTAGATCACCCCACTTCCTCCTTTGGCTCCTGTCATATCTATTCTATCCACTAGAGGGCGCCTCAAGCTGCTCGCATGGGGTCGTTTTTTAAAGGAGGACAATCTGTTGTTACGATTTGAGTTCAAAATAAGAAACCTAAAATGAGCTAGTGTGCCGCAAACACTATTGTGTTATCCATCAACTATATACACTTTAATCCTCACTAGGGTCACGGGGGGCTGGAGTCTATCCCAGCCGACTTAGGGCGAAGGCAGGAGGCACCCTGGACAAGTCACCAGTCTATCACAGGGCTACACTTAGAGACAGACAACCAAGCACACTCACATTCACACCTACGGACAATTTACAATCACCAATTAACCTCAACATGTTTTTGGACTGTGTGGGAGGAAGCCGGAGAACCCGGAGAGAACCCACGCTGCACGGGGAGAACATGGAGACTCCACAAAGAAAGATCCCGGGTGTCCTCACCGGGACGCAAACCGGCGAACTTTTTTTTTTTTTGCGAGGCATCGATGCTAACCACTGCTCCACCTTGCACCCCCTATTGTTTTATGTTTATCTAAAATCCATTTAGGATTTCCTTTAGTCGGCTTCAACTGTAGCTGAAACAAACATTCAGTTTTAGTTTTACTGACCCATCCGTCCACCCCGACCTCCTCCTATTAGTTTACAAAGCCAGCAGAGTGCATTCAGTGGATCATTTATTTCACCTTCACATAGCGGGGAGATGGTTTTATTCACTTTGCACTATTGGTTGAAGAACTTGTATGATTTCAGACTCATGTTTTCTTTGGTTTAATACAGTCACAGAACAGGAGCATAAAGCTTTTTAAATCAGAGTTATCCTTCACAACATTGAGCTTTTTCTCTTTTACCAAGCATGAACCTTTGTTCTGGTGTCAGGAGCATAATCTGTGGTTCTCTGACACACTTCATGGACGTTAAAAATATAATAATAAGAATAATAAAAAAGCTGGAGGTTTAAGAAGCTCAGATGTTGCTACTCTGTGACCTCTGGTAACCTCCGTGTACTCTGGTGAACCCGCGGGTTCACTATCGGGGCTGAAGGTGAATCAGTGAATGAAGGCGTGTCTTTGTTTGCACAGAAAATAAGAGAAAGAGAGAAAAGCTGCTTTGCTCTCACCATGACTCAGCATTTACAACCTCATCAGCACAGACACATAGCAGAGTAAAGACACGAAGCTGCTTCAGACAGACAGACAGACGGACTGACGGACTGACGGACTCACTGCGGAAGAGGAGACCACCGGCGGCAGCAGCAGCGCAGGTCTCCTCCAGCTCTGTGCGCATCTCCTCTGCGCTGCGCCAATAATCCGGACGGCTGCTGCTGCGTTCATCGTGGCGCTAAATTCGACTGGGATCAAACTTTTCTGCGTCCTGAGGTGGACACACGAACAGCTGCTGCTCTAAAGTTCCAGGAAAAGTTCCAACATGGCTGCAGGAGCCGCTGATTGGCGCTGAAGAGCCGCCGCTCCTCCTCCTCCTCCTCCTCCTGCCTCCCATTCATCGTGTTTAAAGGTGAAATCCAGACAGAACAGAAGCTGCAGGAAGAAACAGGCTCCTCAGGACTCACGTTACAGCTAATCCCACCTCAGAGCGGCTCTATTTTGCTCATTAGTTTCCTTTGAATGTTGCGGATTTAATCACGCATGCGCACTTTGGCTGTCAGTGAATGGTTTAATAAACCAATCAGAATCTAGTTGGAGAAAACTTATAATTATGAAATACAACACACACACAAAAGAAACGACAATAAAAAAAAATATATTATTTCTGGGATCAGTCAAAATTCATGGAATTAAGACAACAATAAAAAGCAATTAAACATAAAAATAGAATAAATAAATAAATAAACAAATCGGCTGGTGAGCTTTAGGACAGTAAGTGATGGAGGTATCATCCACTGGTGTGCCAGGTTTTTACGTCCTTCCATGTTTGTCTTCATGTTAAAATCATTCTGTTCCTGACTGTTATTGTTAAATATGAAGTGGTGGCTCAGGTTGGAGCTGATCAGGAAGACATGAAAATGAAGGTTTTTTTATGGCATTATGGAAACTTCTGAACATCCTGAAAATGTGCAGACTCATGGAAATAAACTCCAAGAGATATGGACGTATGAAAGTGGCATCTCGCTCAATTTCCAAGATGCGAGACAAAATGAAGAAAAAAAAGGGCAGATGTCAGTTTAAGATGAAGATCATTCCTACCAGGTGGTGAAGCCGCCAGCTACACTGAGTGGACACAGAATGACTCAATAACTTATTACTAATAGTCATTTATATTCTAATCATATCAATAAAACCATCAAATGCTCCTTAGAAACACTTTTTTGGAGAGAAATTGCCAAAAAATATGGATGTAAACTGATTCTCTGGATGTAAAAATGATGCATACGAATTAATCTAAAGTATTCTTTACTCAGGGGCTGCAAGGTGCAGCAGTGGTTAGCACCGTCGCCTCGCAGCTAGAAGGTCGGCGGTTCGGGATCTTTCTGAATGGAGTCTCCATGTTCTCCCCGTGCAGCGTGGGTTCTCTCCGGGTTCTCCAGCTTCCTCCCACGCAGTCCAAAAACATGTTGAGGTTAGTTGGTGATTGTAAATTTTCTGTAGGTGTGAATGTGAGTGTGCTTGGTTGTCTGTCTCTAAGTGTAGCCCTGTGATAGACTGGTTACCTGTCCAGGTGAACCTGCCTTCACCCTGAGTCAGCTGGGATAGACTCCAGCCCCCCATGACCCTAATGAGGATTAAGGTGTGTAGATGATGGATGGACACATTAATCTAAAATATTCTTTACCCAGCATTTTAATCCTACGATAACTTAAAGAAGAAACAGCTCCAGACGCTGTGTGAGGCTGAAAAGGGAAAATACAGTTTGTAATGACCTGAATATTTCTCAGATTTCATGTTAAAATCCCACAGATTCCAAAAAACTGGTTTAGCGTCTGAACATCCACAATATTTTCATGAATATTCTGTAAAATATAACATCTCAGGTGTTGGTTTCTGTGTAAAATCAGCTGGAAGTAAATGAGTGAAGCGTTTACCTGAAGCCACGTCACGCTGCCAGTCACTCAACATCGACGAGAAAATGTAAAAACAGCTCAGTAAAATACATTTATTGACAAAAAAAGTCGTCTTAATTCGTCCTTTTAATTTTACACACAAAAATATCAAAATACTTTACAGGGCTTTTAATCTGAATATCGTCAAATTTGTTTTCGATCAATTCTCTCAAACTAATACACTGTACAACGACAACGTGCTTGTCCTTTTCAAAAGTCAGTGCTCGTTTCATTTAGTTTCTTTTAGTCAGGGAACAATGCATTTAAAATTATGCATAGTTATTACTTGGTATTCAGCAAATACATTTGAGAGACGTCACTGCATTTCATGCAATTCATTTCCCGACAGGTAAGTCGCTCTCCGTCAGACCTCATTCAGAGCCAGGTGCTTAAATGTTGCAATACATAAAAGATACACAGTACGACATTCATAACATGGATTATCTTGGTTACCCAAACTTCAAAGCTTAAAAGAATGAATGTGTCTTTACACAAACATATCAAAGTATACAACTCGTATCCCAACAAAATTTGAAAAGGTACTAAAAAACGATTTACAAGCGGGCCCGAAGCGCCCCAGTGCAACATGAGAAAGAAACCGCTCCAGAAATCCTTCGCTCCGAGTCCGGAGCCCGAGAGGCCCAGTCGGCCGGTGACCCGCGGACCTCCCCGCTCGGAGTCGGCTCATGTCTTTATCAACATATTCGACATTCCCCTTCTGTCGCTGCTACAGTATTTATCCCAGTTCCTTTCTGACGTCTACATGAGCTGCTAATGAAACAAACTAGAGATCACATGTGAGGGAGAAGGTCGCGCTCAAGGGCGCGAGTACTAGAAGTGGGAAAATATATCGAAAAGGAAACTAAACGAACCCCAAACTCTGACGGGAGGAGGATGAATTAGTGACGTTAGTTAGTAAAACCGAGGCTTCATCCACACCAGCAGGTTTTTATCTGAAAACCATTTCAATCGTCTGAAAACGGATCTGAAAGGTACTTTATCTTTTGAAAAAAACTTTCCAACAGTCCTTGAACTACTCATCGGTGAGCTGCTCTTCAATTGGATATTTCATCCAAATCACTTTTTTAAAAACTACAAATGAGCATAAATGACGTGTTTGCTAGTGACGTTTTCAGTGACTCGCTGTGACCGACAGTCACATGACAACAGAAACGTGGAGAGTTCTGGGTTGAAGTGCAGGCGGTGCTTTACGCTGAGCAGAAAGAAAACAAACATCAAAACAAACTAGAAATACAAAAATGGTAAATATCTGTCGGATGTAGAGTCAACACCAGTGGACACTTAGAAAAATGGACAACATGGTGATTATTTTGTTTTTAAATGTAATTTTGGTGCAAAAAATAATCAAAGGAATTCAACTGCTCCTTATAATTTGTGACCATTATTAACAACAATTATTAGAATCATATAATTATTTATTACTAATAATAAGAAGTATGTATATCACATACCTGTTCAGCTCTCAGGGTGTCGGTACTTTGAATTTATTGTCTAATAACCGCATTTGAACCAAAGTTTGCTTCACTGTAGTTCTGCAATAACATTAACTTGCTTTGTTCCTTTTTTTTTTCACATATTCATAGTTGCACGTAGCAGCTAAACACTCATTTTCCTTCCTGTTGCCTTTGTTTACATGCATGTGTTTACTTGTTGACTTGTTGCTGATTCTGATTAGAAAAGTTAGTGAAGCGTCCACAGTGTGAAGCCACAACTACATGTTTTTCTCCAGTGTTTTGTTGCTCACGTTAATTCTTGTTCTAAAAAAATGTGGCAAATAAATAATCGAAGAAATTCCACTTTTGCTGCTCTTTTCTATGATTTCTGTTTCCTTGTCTTTATACTTCTTTATACTGCAGTGAAAAATGAAAGAAAAAATGAAACCGGAACACAAAAAAACAGACATATGTGTGTCTGTGGCGTCCAAATGTTTCTGTATGTTCAGACTGAAACACAAACTGGGAGGTTTCGAGCTAAAATGGTTCAGTTTCAGGGTCCTAAAGCATCAGACGTGAACGCAGCAGATGTATTTCAAAATAAAAGCCTGCTGGTGTGGATGCAGCCTGAGGGAGCGGGAAGGAGAAGCTCCACGTTTGCGATTCAACAACAGCTCTCCCGCGTGCAGGCTTCACTTTTAGATTCTCTACAAGTCCTCGTTTCTCCGAAGCACGATCGACTAAAGAACATCCGAACACAAAAAAAAAAAAAAAAAAAAAAAAAAGAAGTACAATAGAAAAATGCTTTGACACTTTAGTTACCACTATATTCACACATTTCAACTGTTTGAAATCATCAGTCCGCTATCAAAAAGTATAAACGGGTTCCAGGAGGAGCGCTTCAGTTGAACTCCACGTACCCGAGATAAAAAACACTATCAAAGAAAGACGACCAAGAGAGAAGAAGAAGAAGAAGCCTTTGGGCTCAGGGTTTCTCTGTAGATCTAGCATCATTAAGGCATTATCTATCCAGTATTGCTAAAAGAACAACTAGACATGAAAAGGAATATCTATGTATGAAAGAAACGTAAAAAAAAACAAAAAACTGACACTTAGGACAGAGTGCAAAATACTCACAGAAATCAAAAACCTGTTAGTCCCTAGTGGCCTCTAGAAAGTACCTTCAGAAGGTTCTGTGACGATGGCTAATTTGCTGTTAGCTACTAACATGCAAAGTGCGCACTTGTTTAGGAAAAAAACAAAAAAACAACAAAACAATTTCTTACTTACAGTTTCCAAATGTTTGGTTTCGTCTGCTTAATCTCGATAGCAACTGGAAGGATATAAAAGTCTGTAGAAACTCTGGTGGATGAAACCTGCTGCTCTGACGATCTCGTTTAGTGGACGCTTTTTTTTTGTTTTTAAAAAACAGAAGCCGATGCCTTGAAGTGAGACGTTCGGTGGGCGTTTTCTATCCAGTGAAGGCTGCCGTGGTAACACGATGTGGACAAATAGTTGGCAGAGAGTCTGAGGTAAGAACTAGCTTAATGTTGAAATGCCACGAACCGCACGTTTAAACAAAAAAACATATTTTACCCTTTTTACGTAGCGGGAGCCTGGAGAGGCCGAGGAGGGATGAAATGTGGGGGCGAAACACAAAGGGAAGACAAAATATCAAGGAAGACAGTTGAGGTTGCAAGAAGTGGCAGAAGCGTGGAAACTCGAGCCGAGGAGGGAAACTCGGCGCGAGAGTTCGACCTTCACGCCGGCGTCGCAGCTCCTGCAGGGAGGAGCTCCGGCCCTGCAGCCCCGTTGGTCTAGCTAACAAATTAGTGCAATTTAAGAAGAGACCACTTGTATCCGTGCTCTCTGAAAGCTGCCTACGCAAAAAAATTCCTATGAGAAGAACCTCCGACATCGAGAGAATTT